CTCTAAAAGATCAATGAAATCACATATAACAGAACCATCAATAACATATTGTGATAATTCCAAAGCAAGAAAGTTACTTAATTTTTCACCTTCGACAAGTGTGAGAGAAGGACTAGAAAAAACATGGAAATGGTTTGAACAAGAGTACCATAATATTATTATTGATGACGATTGTGATTAAATATTAATATGTTATTCTTTCTTTCTTTTTCTTCATGTGTATGATAATAAAAATGAATAAATTATAAAATATTGTTATTAATAAAACAATGTCTAGATAATAACATGAGTAGAGAGATAATTGAATTGTCTTTTATATTTGATATTGTATTAAGAATGATTGTAAAATAAAAATAGATCTTATGAATACATTGAAAAGAGTTAAAGATAATTAATAATAGGAAAAATAAAGAAAAGAAATAGATGATTGAAATTTTGTTTGATAATTTCATTCTTATATCATCATACACCATGAAGAAAGAAAAAAGAGAAAAACAAATTTGAATGAATAATTATTATTCAACTTTTATATAAAAATGACATCACTTATCTTATCATTTAAACAAGAAAAACAAAAATAAATCAATGTACTTATTGAAAGGAGGATTGATTAAATTTCGTAATGATGAATAATACAGTGTACTTGATACTTTAAAAATATACTTTGGACTTTACTAGAATATTTCTTTTGCTGGAGTACATTCGTACTTAGTACATGTAATAAGTACGAATGTACTCGAGTACAGTAAATTAAATACATTAAAGTGCTCACAAGTATAATGAGGCATAGCTGTACATTCGACACATCGGTATTTGCAATAAATATATACATGAGTAATGGCTAATACAATAGTTGTATAGTATTTACAATGCTTAGTTTTAATTATAAAGTACATGCTGTACTTAAAATACTGTTACTTCAGTAGATAAGTATTAAGTACTCGATATCCTTCAGTACAAAGTATTCAAGCACTGGAATAATACATAAAAATTAAGTTTTTTTTTTTATGAAAATCGAAAAAGTATTATATGTATTTCAAAAAGATATTTGAAGATTTAATAATATTTCTAAATTTGACTTCGTTTGATCTATTTCAAAAGTAAAGATAATAAAATAAAATAGAGATACATAAATTCATTACTGTTTCATAAACATGATTATATTTATTATCATCATCATCATCAATAGACACAAAAAAAATACATAAATAAAATTCTACATTGAGATAATTATTGAAAGACATCAAGAGAATTTCATCAACAAAAAGAAAAACTTGATTAATAATACAAAAAAAAGATGAAAGGACTAGATCAAATGTATTTTGTTTACAATTTGTCAATTGTTTAACAAAATTCAAAATCTTATATTAAATTTCGTCTGATTTATTAGATTTTTGAATTTAAAATGAGATTTTTTTTGATCGTTTATCTGATAAACATGATCTAGAAAGAAATAAAATAACATAAAATAATAATTCAAAATTTAATTTACTTGATTTGTCCAGCAACTAATGGATCAAAAGCATAGAGCCATTCATAAAGATCTTTTTCAACTAATGGTTGAATAAGAAAATGATGATATTTTGAAACAACGGAAATTGTATTATGAATATTCTTTTATGAAAAATAAAAAAATATTAAATAAATAAAAAAACGAAGTGTTTTCATTACTTTTGCTCCATTTAGAAATTTCTCATTATTCAGTTCAATATGAGATGTTCTTAAATTAATTAATCCACGTTCAACAACATCTTTTTCATGATTATATAAAAATGCAAATGGACGCCGCACAATCTAAAAGATCAAAACAATTTTTTTAAATTAATTTAAAAAAATAACAATGAATTCTAATAACATACAACATATCTTTTTATCAAATTAAATTCTTTTTCTTCGAGAAAATTCAAATAACCACGACGTGTAATAATCGGAGATATATGCACTTCTTCAATTAATGGAATATATTTTATTGGATTACATTCACCATTATTAGATAATACAGAATCATTATTTTCATCACTTTTATTTGTAAATGATGAATCCAAATGATTTGATCTATAAGAAAAATACAAAATAGAATAAACATCTTATGCCAAATTCAACTAAATCAAATATTCATCTTATCAATTAACTGTCTCTTCGCCAGTAGGACATTCACAAACTGTGATAACACAAGATTAGTGTAAAACGGATGTGACAAATTAACCTAATATTATCAGAATAAGCATGTTATAGTCTAAACCCCGCAATATAGTTACTAGGAGCTATTTTTATACATATGTAATCACACAATGATACTGGTAAAATTCCATGAGGTGTCTTAGCGAAAGGACCAATTGGCGAAATTCAGGAATGCCATATTTTATACTAATCTTATGTTATTACAGTTGGCAAGAATTCATTGTACTTTCGCCAATGATGAATGTACTATCGGCGACGAGACAGTAATGCATACTATCAAAGGGGTAATAGCTGGCACTCAGCACCTTAGCACTTGCTCAGCACCTTTTCAGCACCTATTTAGGACTTGTTCAGCATCTAGGCACCTATTCAGCACCTCAGCCAAGGAGGTAAGAGCTGGCAACGAGCACTGAAAAACACCGAACAGGTACTGAACGGATGCTGAAGTGCTGAAAAGGTGCTGGGTGCCAGATGTTATCCCCTTGGATCAGCATCTCAGCACTTGCTCAATACTTCAGCACCCGTTCAGCATCTCTGCACCTGTTCGGTGTTTTTCGGTGCTGGGTGCCAGCTATTGCCCCCTTGCATACTATCACATACAAATTTCATTCACAATTTTTCAATTAATTAAATATAAACTAGTTTACCAATCGTGTCTATCATTTGCTTTGATAATCACATGTATATAGATTTCAGAGAGCGAATCGAACTGACTTTTACTGGTTCGAGTTCGATTCGATTTTCTTTCCTTACTATGATACTCAAATGTTTAAATTCTTTTTAAAATGGTTCTACTATTTTAATTTTATTTATTTACTTTATTAAGTCTGAAGTATTCGAAGATGATTGATTAGAAGTATTCATTTGATTATCTGTTTGTATAGGTGAGATTTCTGTAATAGTTGTTGATTTTATGAGAGAATGATCAATAGAAGTGTCATTTAATGATAGATGATTAGTTGTTGTTCCCTATTTAAATAATAAAATAAGAAATTTGGATTCTTTTGAACTGTTTTTCCTTACTTTAATTTCATCTGTAGCTAATTTTGAAGTAATTGATGATGTCATTAATGATAAACAATGGCGAAGTAATTTTTCTTGATAATCTTCAATTGAAATATTTGAATTCTTTATCGATGTTTTAATATTTTCAGATGATTGTAATGAATTATTTAAATGATTTTCAACTCGTAAAATATGTTTTGTATGTTCAACCTAATTAACAGAAAAAACAAAAAATAAAAAAAAGTATTTCTCAATTAAATATATACCGATTCAATTTTAAATAATTTTCTAAGATCTTGTTGATGTTCAATAATTAATGAATCACTTCTTGGTCTCCATCCATGTAGCATTTCTTCTCCACGTACATAAATTTTTGATGTATCAATTATTTTTCGTTGTCTTCGTCGTGTACCCGGACTTTCTTCTGATAAATCTTTTGTTATTGTATTTGACATCGAAATATTTTTTAATTTTAATTCATAAATAGTTGATATACTATTGGAATATTCATCTGTAATTGATGTTCGCATTATTGAATTTGTTGAAAGAAAAAAATTTCTTAATGATGAACGTATACGTGATGTTGAATCATTATTACGTGGATATAAAATAACACATAGATCTTTTGTTATAATTATTGGCTGTGAACAGTTTTCAATTTCAATACAAAATGATATTGTTAAATAAACGGAATTTCCATTTGATGTACAACGATTTAATAACAATGAATTATGTAATGATGAATCCCAAGCAACTTCAAAATGAAAAAATATTCGTTTATCATGTTGTTTTTCAATATATTGAGATGATATTATATTTAATGAGAGAATTTCATCATCATCATCATCATCCTTCTTTTTATCATCAAGTTGATTACGAATTCGACCTATTAGAATAAAATAATGAAGAAACTTTTTTTTTTTGAAAATAGAATTTTTATACCAATAACAACTTCATGAATATTTTTCCAGATGAGTTCACAACTTGATTCATGACATAATGTGATTCCAATACGTCGTTGAATACCCTGATGAAGAATAAATCGACCTGAACATTGAATATCATCCGAATGATCAACGGTAACAGCAACATATCTATAAAAATTAAGAAATATAATTGCAAAAAAAAACAAGTCTATTAAAACTTACTCGCCATTTGGTGATAATTCAAATATTTCATACCAAACAAGAATATCATGACTTGACTGAATTTCACTTGTTGAACTAAACGAAACTATCTGATTGTCAAATGAAGTTCATACTAGACATATTTAAATAATATCGGATGAAAAAAGTCTGTCAGCGCAGTTCCCTAGGGACTAAAAATGTGGAACTTATGTATGCTCGTACCATAGAAGATTTGCTATGTAATAGCGTTCGAGGGATGTGATAATTAGCAAACTTGAATTCAAAGTTTGTCATCGCGATTTTTTCCGAAGGGTGAATCGATGTGGGGCGATATATTATCCTGTCACCCACACCCTCTAGGCTATTTCCAGTCATTGGAATGAGCGACTGCCTTGATTCATACCCAGTGGCGTTTGACGTCTACTGCTAAGAAGCCGGAAAACTTGAACTCAAAACTTACACTCACGATTCTCTTCAAAATGTGAGATAATCATTCGGAGCTCTTTCTTTCCTGATATATACTCTTAGCATGTTGATAATTTATATAGATGCGAGAATTCTTTTCTATCAAGTTTAAATATGTCTCAGAATATAAATCTATAAGCGATTATATTAAAACTAACTTTGTTGTTGTTGTTAATGAATTTAATGTTTGAACTGAGATTGGTTTTGAAAACGGTATTGGTCGTGTGTGAATTATTGGTGAAGGCGTTGTTATTGTACTAAATAAAATTTGAATATTTTATAAAAAAATAAATTTTATCAAGAAAATCAAACTTACTTATAGAATTTGGAGTTTAAATGTTCTTGATAATGACCCATGACTTCAAAGATAATTGGTTTTCGATGAATATAATCAAGAAATGAACGGGTAACAATAACGCTGAACTAAAAATATAGATTTTTCTTCTTATTATTAAGATTTTTTTTCTTGAATTTTATTCTTACATTTTGCATATGATTAAAAGCAAGTGGTACAGAAGATTTTGTTTGATTTTTAATTGGTTCTGTTGAATAAGCTTCATGATGTTGATGAAGAAAATTAAATTGACAAAAAATATCTTCGTATTCAATTGGAATCTCCGATGCTTCTAAAATTACAACACGAAATTGATATTCAACACCAAGTTGTGCTAATAATTCATTTGATATTATATCGCTAGTTGTCATTATAGTTGATTCTTCTATAAATTTAAAATAAGAGATTGGCAAGAAACAAAAAAAAATGAAATACTTTTTTCATTTGAAGATAATAAAGAATTAGTAACAGATTTCGGTTGATATACATCATTTAAACCATTTTGTGATCGTCCTTCAACATAACGAATATTAGGATCCAAAGAATCACATGATTTTATTAAATCATTTGATAATGGGTTATTCAGATCCTATGAAAAAAAATTAAATATTAGATAAAACTTGATAAATGATTGGAAGAGAAGATGTATTTTTATTTACTTGAAAATATGTTTCATCATTAAAAGCAATTTTTGTCATTCCGTTAGCATTTCTATATGTTTTCATTAATTTAATTTGTTCGGTTGTTGTCTCTTGTGTTGATGTTGTTTGTATTTGTTGTATAGCAATTTTTAAATAACCTTTTATATCACCTCGTTCAGATACAATAGCAACATTTTGTACTAATGAAAACCCATAGAGAAGATTTGTTAAATAAACAAATGCTCTAAAATATAAATTAGAAACAAAAAAGATAAATAAAGAATTATTATATTCACCTTCCAATCGATCGAAACCAAGGAAATCGATCATAAAATGGATCAGCTTGAATAGTAGCTGTTGATGTGTCATCCATAGTTAATGATTCCATACTTCGATTAGGTGATGTTGGTGAAATGTCAGCTGCATTTGAATACATTTCACGCATTAATTCAAGTCGTTGTCTATTCAAGCAAAAAAAATTATCATAAAGAATATTATTCTAGTGAAAAAAAGAAAACTACGACTAGAAGAAACACTAATAATGCACAACACGACATGGACAAACCTGGCTTTAGTAGAAAAATCAAAATTTCCTTTATTAGTTGCACTTGAAATTGTATCGTCACAATTTGAATCTTGAGAATTAGTAGTCGTAGTAATATTTGGTGAGGATTCATCACTTATATCACTATAACTAACTGCACGAGGAATTGATATTTGCTCACAATTGTATATAAGACGCATTATTTCCAGACGAGATCTATATGATCATTGGAAATTTTATCGAAAAAGGATAATCTATTACTATCGACTCATATTTTTTTCTTAAGAGCTGTTTTTTTACTTCTATCCAAATGAAACTTACCGAAATTTTTCCAGTGACCAATAATGTATAGCACCATTTTTAAGATCTTGTACTTCAATAGCAACAATTGTATTTTGTGTTAATGATGTTGAACATAATTCAGTTGGTAATGGAGAATAAAGTGTATTAGTTAAAAGAATAAATTGAAATTGTACACGTTTACGTAATTCAACACTTATAGCATTTGCTTCTTTTAAATAAACACTATTGCCCCATAAAATATCCTAGAATTAATACATAGATTGAAAATAAAATATTTCAAAAAAAGACAAATTCAACAGACAAAAGATAAAACAAAAAAAAATCTAATAATAAAAACATTTTCGTCTACCAAATTTAATACTAGAGATATGCGAGATCAGATTTCCCTAGTCCCGGCAGCTATTTTTTGCAATGGTCTCTGTTCCGAAGCTGGTCCCGCACATCTCTAGTTGTGAAACTAATACTTTATTTATGAATCCGTACTATTTCACGAGTGAAAAAGTACAGATGTCAATAGAGATACGCAGTTTCGGTGCAAATACTGAAAAACTGTCACTTTCAGTCCTGACAGTGACGTACCGTAGCAGTGACACCAGGTTCCACTGCATCAGTGAGCCCGGTGTCAGTGCTACGGTGCGTCACTGTCGGTGCTGATAGTGCACGGTTTACTGAAACTGCGCATCCCTAAACGTCAACATTTATAAATAGCTAGATTCGTTTTTAAGTGAAATAAAAACTTCTCAAAATATCTGTAACGATACTAATCTTAATAAAGTTTTATTGATGTATTTTCAACTACTAATCAATAGTAATTGATCATACAATGATGAACAACAGAAAAATGTCAAAAAAATTCTTTTTGTGTATTTATTCATATTAAAACCAGACATTTCTGATGAAGGTCATTCCATCAAATTTAATAATAGTTTTCATCAGGAAATATTCATTCGTAATGAGATGTTAATACTTTAAGTTAGAACTTCAGATACTTTACTCATAAGGAATTAATAAATAAAATATTGATTTTGCTTTTTCTCCTCAAATATATATAGGAAAAATCACATGTTGTCAAACTATTAGGTTTCTTTATGACATATAGAAACTATTTATCATGCAAATGCTCATATACTGACAACAAATGGAAATAGAAGCAAGAGACAATGATTGAACTCTTGATCTCGAGTTTTTCTAGGTAACAAAAAAAAGACAAATAGATTTGATGCAAAATTTAAAAAAAACAACATTGATAGGGGAAGAAAAATGACAAAACATGAACAAACAGGCAAAAATGATACCTTGATTAATCCAATAGGATGGATACGATTTGAATAATCCTATTCAAGGGGAATGAGTAAAACTCTTTTTGTCTCAAAATCATATTACATATGAAAAAATATTTCATAACTAACGATGAGAAAAAGAAATTTTAATACATTATAACCTACTCTTAATGATGTCATTCGATGAAAACGCCATTTTTTCCATGCCCACCAAGCTAATTGATAATCTTGTTCAGACCACGAACAATCTTTATCGAAGAAGAAGAAGAAAAGAGGATTATTTCAATTAATTTAAATACCAACTTACAACTCATGGTATCATTATCATTTTCAAGCAGATCCTCTTGAAGTGTTTGTTGTCGAAATAATAATGAATCCGCTAAACCTGATGTTGATAAAATTGATGAAAGCATTGATTGACTCATAGATGTTTCCATAACTTGTTTTTGTAATTCAACTATTTTAGATTCATATTCAAGTTTTTGTTTATGTAAAAGACGATCAACTTCTTCTTTTTCACGTTTAAATGCTTCTTCCATTGTTACAAGTCTTTACAAGAAAAAAAAAACAATACATTTTCTTTCATTAAAAAATCTTTTACTTTTTTCCCATTTCATGTTTTATATCTACACCTTGTTTTTCTAATAATTCCTGTATAGCACTATTCCAATCAGGTGGTTCTATATATTATAAATGATTTTTTTTAGAATTTTAAAAGAATATTTTACATACCACTAGTTGATTCTGTTTTAATAGTTTTTCGTCGAGCTTGTTCAGGATTAAGAAAACGAAAAACATGTGATTTACCAAAAATAACACGAGATCCAGATGTCAGTTCAACGGTTGTATTTAGATCAACTTGTTTTCCATTAACATAACACATTGCAGTTTGACTACATGGTTTTAAATGAACAATATTTTGTGAATTTATTAGTATACAATGTTCAGGTTCAATATGTGAACCAGACAAAACAATATCTTGATGAATAGGCGCATCAGGACGGCCAACACTAAATACAAGAGGTTAGTTTTTATAGTCAATATAGAATAATTGTCTTACCGAGTAGTACCATCTTTAATAAAATACATTAAACATTCAGACATTAATGGATCTTCATTAAGATTAACAAGATGTGGAGACTAAAATGATAATAATGATAAATTATTTCAAGTTTTTAGTGTATTCATACATTCTTTGGTGAGAATATTCCTACAGCATTTCCATCATTCTTTGAATAGACACCAAGTTCATGAAAAGCAGCTTCTCTTTAAAACAACAATAGGATAGTTAATTATAAATAAATTATGTATTTTACCGTTCCGCCATAATTTTTTCTGTTTTTTGAAGTTTTTCTTCATATGACATACATAATGAATCCATTAGTTTTTGATTTTCTTTCAGACGTTCTAAAGTATCTTCACTTATTTTTGAGGGTGGTGATGATGATGATTCCAAACGTTGAGATTTAGAAGTATGTGTAGGTGAAGTAGTAGATGTTAATATTCCATCTGATGATAGATTAATTCCAGCTTCATTCTTTAATAATTCTCTTAATTTAATAATTTCTTCTTTTAAATCACGTATTAATCGAGCATTAGCATCTTCATTAATAACTGCTTTACAAACAATTGCTTTTGCACGATCAGCATAACGAAGAGTCGAAAGAGTTTCATCATAATTTATATCTGCTGGTGATATTGCAGCTATCATAGCTGTTTTTGAATTACCACCTTAAATTAAAATATATGAAATATTTTATAAATTTGTACAATGTATAAACACTTACCAAGATTTTCCTTGAGCAACCAAGTTAGCACTGAATCTCGATAGGGTATAAAATCAGATTTTTTTTCTGGACGTATTTTACGACTTTTTGAACTCTGAATAAAAACGAATGATTAGATCTATGTTTTAGTTTTTCTTAAATACAAACCATTTCAGCAAGTGCTGCAATAACTTTTCCAAGTGTTGTTAATGATTTATTAATATTCGCACCTTCTTTTAATCGATCACCAGTTGCACCAGTTGAATCAGCTCGTTCACTTCCCGCTAAATCTACTAAAGAAATTTTCGATTGTTTTTCAGCGGTTAAATCTGTTATTGGATCATGTATTGATTGTGAAAATAATATTGTAAATACAGCATGTGATCGACTTGATGTTTCATTCATATTTGTTGCTGCTACTGTTCGAGCTTTATTTCCTTCATCAATTAATCTTGATATATCATCATAAGATGTAACAAGTAACCGAGATAAATCCTCAACATATGGTCCCATAATAGGATGTTCACGAACACGTAAATTATGTGAACTACCAACACCAATTGTTTGAGATTTTTTTGGTGAAAGTAAATCTCGTACACGTTCACAATAAATTTCCATATAGGATACTTCAACTGTATAATTTGGTTTAATACGAGATGATGATATTGGTGATGATGAAATAATACGTTGAAATAATTCACCACATAAACGTGGAATAATACCTTGTTGTTCTGGTTCATTTTTTCCCATCATTGTATATGATTTACCAGCACCTGTTTGTCCATAAGCAAATATACATACATTATAACCTTCAAATGAATGTTCTAACATTTCAATGCCTAAATCTTGATAGACTTGTGCTTGTGTTGCGAATTTTTGTTGATTGATATTTTCATCACATGACCAATATGAATAATCATATTTATAATGTTTTATTGTTTCATCAATCGGATTTTGTATAAATGTTGTTTGTTCTTGTTGATCCATACGAATTATACATTTAGCTTGACGATTTCGTTCACGAGTATTAAATGGTCGTACACGTACAGCTACTTTGACCGACGTCATCGTCTATTGATGCCGTACGATCTAAAAACTGAAGCAAAAATACAATGTCTGAGAACGGAAAAACAATGAATAAGATTCCGATTGAATACTATTCCGTTTTCTTTTTCCTTCTGAAATCTAAGCAACTAAGAGAAGATAGAGAACAGAAGAAAGAAAGAAGGAAAGAAAAAATATATTGTATTTGTCGTTTGTTGACAGTCAATAATAGAAGAAAATGATAGAAAAGGCTATTCTCTGATCACGAACAGTCTTATAGATCAAAGCTAGACTAATCATAAAAGCTATTTTTTTGTCCTAAGAAACAGATAAGAATATCTATATTTGCGAATAGAATGACAGAAAAATCTATTCAAATTAATATTTCTATTTTTATTCGATTTCCTTAATAAATAACTCAAGAGAGAGTGAATTCAGACATAATTATAGATTATTAAAAAAGAATAAGTTATATTTGTAATATCGTAAAATATACTTCTGATTTAATTATTGATCTGAACAAATAATTACATAATTTTCTCTATATTTATTCAATGTTTTGAATAAGAAACAAATGTTTCTTGAGGTTATTTTTATTCTTGCTTCTATAAATAATCAATTGCGTAAATCCTTTATTTCTGGATCGTTTCATTTCTGATTGTCAAGCAAGCAAAAAAAAAGAAGATTAATGATATGTTTGAAGAACATAAGGCTCAACAAGAAATAAATTATAAATAGTAACATATGTGTAAAGAATGAACTGTAAAACACTTTGTTAATCTCCGGTTTTTAACACCTCATGAAAGAATATGTGTGTGAATAGTGTGACAATTTAATTCATTGGGGGACATTTTCCGCTGCTTATCATTTTTACTCTTCAATATTTTATCATGTTTTAGTAAAAATCCGAAATGACATTGATTCTTAGGGGAATTTGATAAGGTTATTAGATTTGTAATACGTCTTTCTTTTCTCTTTTATCGAACAATCAAGTTTTTAAGAAAGTCATTATTTTCCTGAAGATATAGAATCTTTTTTCTAAGACTAAATCTTACCCGAACGTTTGATGGTTGGATCCTGTAAGAGATTTTATCAATCGCAATCAGTCAGATGATCAGATCTGATGGCTATCAACAACAAGACGAACTTGTTTTACTGAAATGATCAGCATAACAAACTCTATATCGTAATAATTTTCTGAGAACTTTTTATTTTCTTTTGTGGTTGATTATCTATGAAAGTACCATTAAACATAAGATTCACAAGCATTTTGTTGTTAACAACTGAATTACATATATTCTCAGCATGGTTCATATATTTCTGGCTATGACAGTAAAACAGATGTGATAGACGACGTCATATTTTCAATTAATTACACGTACGCTGAACTGTATCTATCTCATTTATTTAATAAATAATCGTTGAATGTAATATATCAAGAATTCATCAATTATATATTTTTTTCTATAGAAAAGAATTGTTGTCTTATTTCACACGCTAGGAATCAAATTACATTGTCTCATTTTAGTCTATTAAACACTATCTTAAGTTAACATCTAGACACAAACTCACGTATAAGTCTTCCAACTATTTAATATTCGCAATGAATGATGCCATAGAATAGTTTATTAATTAACATTATGTATTTGATTTAATACGTAATAATTATATTCTAACGTCTTGTAATTCGTGATAAGTAATATTAATTTTATCATTAATAAAGATAAGAATCTAAATGATAGTTAATTAGTTTCTGACAAGTTAATATAAGATGTCATTATGAGAATAATTGAAATAAATAAATAAAAAAAGAAAGGAGATGATTAGGATTTATAAATGAATAGCAGAATAAAATATGAGATTTTTCTATTGAATAGCTCAGTAATCGGAAGGAGTTTTTCAATTAATCGGCTTTTGATCTTTTCCGCTTAATTGATCGATTTTTTGACAAGTGATTTGAAGTTACCATGATTGGATAAGATTGTCCTCCAGTAAAATCATTTTAATTTTCAAAAATTATTTGATTATTTTTATTATTATTTCATAAAAATTTTATTTTATTATATTTCAATAAAAGAAAAACTCATTTATTCAGTTCGAAAATGCATTGATGCATTATTTGACGAATAAATAAATTAGTTGTCCGAAGCTGTTGTTTCACGAGAAAGAGAAAGTTCACTCACTCACTCACTCACTCACTCACTATTTTTTCCCTCAATGTCTATTTTATACCCACATGAAGTTTTCGACATCCAAAGGTCTGTCTGTTTATGATGAAAACATCCTTCTTTTTTTTCTAATGTCAAGGTCTGGTAATTTATCCTTGTCATACGAAATAAATTATTAATATTTTTCCATATTTTATAAGCATTAGAAATCATCATCTCTTTTTACTCGAATATCATAGAATGAAGTTATTAAGGCTTGAGAAAAAATGTTCTTATACAAAGACAAGTGAGATAAGTAAAACTTACTGGCCAGACGAGACTATCATTTCTTATTTTGTTGGTCATTAGTGCCCTCTATAAAAACAAAACACCTTTTTCTTAACAATTGGTTGTTATTGATTATAGTGAAGAAAAAAAAAAGTTAAAATAAGAAGTTGTTGTTTTTGTTATTCGAATTCCATAATGGAACAGCCACAACAACGTTTAACACGTCAAGCAAAAGAAAATTTATCAACAACAATATCATCATCTCGTATACTTGATGCATCAACACGTGCACGTCGTACACAAAAATTTCTTGAATCACTTGAACAAGATAATTTTCATGATGATCCAACAGAACCATCATCATCATTTGATTCAACATTAACACAAGAACAAATAGCTAAAACACTTAATAATACATCAGCATTTGGTTATAGTCGTCATTCAAAAGGTTTAATTCTTGAATCTGATGAACCATCACAAACATCAAATTCATCGAATAAACGTCGGAAAATACAATTTAAACATGATGTATTTAAAACACGTTTTCGGAAAAATTTACAAACATTATTAGATGAAGAATTAGGTTCGAATGGAGACAAATCGAATGAAACAAAAAATTATTTTACTATTATTGCTAAACCTTCGAAATATCCATCGTTAAAACTTTGTTCTGTATGTGGTTTTACTTCGCAATATACATGTCAAATATGTGGAACTCTTTATTGTTCATTAAAATGTCTTGATATACATAAAGATACACGATGTTTAAAACATACTGTATAAATAAATGTAGAGAATCTTTTGTTCTTTTTCAGATAATGTCACATACAATTCTTCTTCTTCAATCAACAAGCAAACTTGATTCTCGTACTTATTCAGATTATGAATCTGTTGATGAATGTCTTGATGGTAAATAAACACTTATTTGAAAATATTAAATAAATATTTTGTTTGTTTTTCTTTAGGTATATGTAAAGTATTTGAAGAACATTTAAAAAAACGTAATCCAACATCACCATCAATAACATATGATATATCGGAATTATTTGAATTTATTGATCAAATATCAGATTTAAGTTGTTTAGTTTTTCAAAAGCCAACAGGACAATATAAACCACACAATAAAGAATGGATTAAACAGGAAATTTTCCAATTATTACGTAAACAAGCAGCTGGTGGAAAATAAAATATACAA